TTAACTTCTCAAAGGTAAAAATGGGATGAAGGGAGGGCAGTGCTGCAGGGAGCTCTGCTGTCAGTGTGTGCAGCAGTGGGACCCAGCCCCTCGCAGCCACAGCAGCTCCCCTGGGATTGTCCAGGAAGGACAGGGCAGAGGGTGGTGATGATGTACAGACCTGTTGGAGGTCTCCATCACCAAAATCTGACCTCCCTACCTGGCCTCACAGAATTTCATCAGCCTGGGATGGTGCTGGGCCCACCAGCGCTGGAACCAGGTCTCCACCTTTCTGACCTGCAGGTCACTTTGCTTGGCCATGAAACCAACTCCTACTGGAAAACAGAACAGGGAGGAAGGACTGAGCCTTTTGGAGGCTGTCATTCCCTGTGAGGGAGGAGGAGCTGTGCACCCAGAGGCTGCTTTGCCCGKCMGCCTTTCCGCAAAGAACACYTTCCTTTGCAAAAAAATTGTATTAACTCTATTTGCWTTTGTGAACTCACAGATTGCATTGGCCACTTTAAAACTCCAATTCAGACATATCTAAATGCAGGTTCAGATGTAAGCTGGTTGAGTTTTGGCATCTGTACAGAATGGGATGCAATATCTGGCTATGAAAGTCTAAATACATTTTTATCCACCTCTGATACAATTTTGACTCATAATTATCAGCTACAGATGGAAAACCTGAAGAYAAAAGAAGTTTCAGCTTGTAAAGTTAAAAAAACAGACACATAGTTCACTCCATAATGTCAGTAAGCAATTCAGCTGTTGAAGTGGCAGTCACAGGCTCAAAGGCATCAATTCCAACATCTTCATTTTCTGCATGAATTCCAAAAAACATGACAAGAGTTAAGGTTTATAAATTGTGATTAAGCTGTGCCTCGGGCTGGCTGTGACCATTCCAGCAGTGCTGGGGCCCTGGGGCAGTACATCCAGCACAGAACACGGTTCTGGCAGCATCTTCCTGGTACCTGACCCTGGCTACCACTGTGGGCACACAGATCCTCTCCTACAAGAACTCTTTCCTCTTGTAGAACTGTGGCTCTGCCCCTGGGCAGGGCATTGGGCATGAGTGACAAGTGGTGGCCCAAAGTTCAGAGGAAGAGCTGTGCACCCAGAGGCTGCTTTGCCYGTCCGCCTTTCCGCAAAGAACACCTTCCTTTGCAAAAAAATTGTATCAACTCTATTTGCATTTGTGAACTCACAGATTGCATTGGCTCCCAGCACTGACATACCCAGTAAACCCTTGTCTAGCAAGCTCCCTTATTTGTGTCTCCAGAGAGACCCTCCGTGCACAGCTCAGATGTGACTGAGTGTGGACTTTTCACACCTACAGGTACAGGAGAGAGGAAGGGCAGGGCAAAGAGCTGCCACACAAATATCATATGCATATGAAAAGCAGAGAGACTCATTATTCTTGGGGACAATCCAATCCCATGTACACTTTGTCATGGTCAGGAGGTAAGGATAGCTTTGGAGTTGCTCTGCAAGGTACTAATGGCAACCAGTACAGGAGAAACCAGAGGTGCTGCACTCACCTTTCAAAGATGCATCGGACAAAGATCAACAGCAAGGCACCAGAGATGCAGAGCAGGAKGTGCTGAGGCTGCAGGTAGTGTATGTCTGCAGATTCCTTCAAGTCTTCCCAGGTAGCTCCAGGTATGGAGCCAGTATTGGTGGTGCCAGAACCCCTCTGATGCTCCCATTCTGGTCGAGATGGTGGGCACAGAGAGCAGAGGCTGCCTGCAGCAAGCAGSTATCAGCAAGGCATAAAGCTCACTGCTAAATCAGGATTCCCAACACAACAGCTCATCACTCAGTGTCCCCACCTCTTGCTCAATACCATCAGTACATCAGACTCGTTCAAACAGCACCACTTGTTTTGTCTTGAGMCAGGGAGGCGGGGTAAGGTGTCCTAGTACATCAAAGTAATTTTGGGTGTCAAGGAGGTGGCTGATTTCAATTTCATTTTTTTTTTGCACAGATGACTAAAGTCCCTGCCTGGTGACACTATCAATAGGAGCATCTCTACCAGGCTTTTCCTTCTCAGGCTTCAAAGCCCTCATCTCTTAATCAGTTCTGACACCTGGCAGAGAACGTGGATGGAGGTCCCAGGGTAGGCTGTCCACAGCCATTAGCATCTTCTGGCWTCTTCAGGGCCCCAGCAGTCTCAGTTTTGGTTCCTTCATCTTGGCCAGCAACATCTCATAYCGTGTTTGCATTTTGAACCATCATGCACTGAGCACAAAGCTGATGCCCTGCTCCCCAGAGCAGTTCTGGAGTGCTCACACACAGCCCAGCACTTCTGGACCTTGTGCACCACCTTGCTCTGCTCCACTCAGCTTCAATCTCAGTGCTGTAAACTGCAGCAGCCAATCTGCAACACCATCATGATCTACCTTTATTAKCAGCTGATTTTGCCATGTCTTTCCYTCCCCCTTTTTGGGCAACTRCAACAAAACACAGCTGCAAACAATCCGTGTTGGTCTCTCAGAGTCACCTTGGGTGGTTTTACTCAGGATGGTGAGGGACCTTTCTGAATGCCTTTGCAAAGCTGAGCAGGGTGCAGGGTTCTGTCCACCACATGTACTTACCAATTCTTTGTGGTAACTCCAGCAGAGTGAGATGCAACCTCCCCACAGATTACCCCATGGGGAGTCTTTCCTATTACGCTCATATCTGCTCACAAAAATTCCACCATGTATTATACTTTCTACTGCTTTGACCAGTCTGCATGTCARAGGCTGTAGTTCCAATGTTCCCATCTGGAACCTTCTTAAATCTTTCTGATAAGAAGATGATTTGAAACAAAAATTAGCATTCCACAGTTTGTAGTTGAACTCCTCTAAGAACAAATTTCCTCCTGCCAGTGGGTTTGAAGGTTTGCTGTTACTCAGTCTGTGTGCTARGTAACATCTTCCCACCCATTGGCTTAAAGCGGATCCTCCTGGAATGTGGCCTCAGTGAGATGTCAGGTATTGGACCCTCTCTCTGTCAGCTGGGGAGCCACACAGGGCAGCTCACTGCATTTCTTAGCTCTAGCCTTACTGTCCCAGTGTTCCTGCTCTCTGCCACCATCATCTCTGAGTTCAACAGTCTTGCCAATGTTTCAGAGACGAGTATTGCCCTTCAAGATATTTCTCAGGATATGTCTTGGCCTGCTTGATCACATGCTCACATTCATCTGCCAAATTTATGGGTTCTTCCCCTTGTTTTGACATGACTTCAGCTTTTTGAACAAGGCCTTGCCCTTACCTGAAGGCACGGTGTCTGCCTATCAGAACGAGAGAAGCGGTATCGTTCCAAGTGCAGCCATCCAAGAAGGGGTTCCCTTGGTCATACATTTCTGCATGAAAAAATGTGATRTATGCAGATCTTTGAAATTTGCTGTGTGCAGGAGGAAGGAAACAACTGTGCCAAATTATTCTTAAAACAAGGTCCAAAATGGCACYGGATGTCCATGTCTGCTGGAGTCAGCAGATTCATGCCACCCAAAGTTTTGGGTAGGACAGCCTGGGGGCCACACTGTGCCAGCCCTGACTCACCCACCTCACAGCATCCTGAAAGCATCAGTTTGTGCTCTTTTTCTCATGGCTCACATGGAGCTGGATGCCTCATCTCCCACAGCTGCTGACTAACATTATRTGGTGCACACATTGTGTGATGCACATCTCGCCTGTGCACATGGGGGATAAAAGCACTGGGAGAAAGAGGGTCAGGCCCTGCTGTGGTGCCCAGTGCTCCATCCAGAGTGGAACTCTCCGTTAAAGAGTAAGTGCTGAAGGAGCTCGGGGGGCTCAGCCTSGAGWAAAGGAGGCTCAGGGTGATCTTCTCACTCTCAGCAACTCCCAGGGAACAAGGGACAGGAACAGAGGAAATGGACTCAAGCCATGCCAGGGGAGGAATGAGCTGGAAAACAAGAACAATTTCTTCATGGAAAGGGTTGTTAAACATTGSAATGGGCTGCCCAGGGAGCTGGTGAAGTCACCGTCCCTGGAGGTATTTAATAAATGACTGGACTTAGTGCTCTGCTCTGGTTGACAAAGTGGTGATCGATCACAGGCTGCACTTGATGATCTCAGAGGCCTTCCCCAACCTAATGGTTCTGGGATTCTCAGCAGAAAGTGCCAGACTTGCTGCAGGTTTTCTACAACAGCTACTSTGGTGGAGGGAGCTGTGATGCCCCATGCGGGAAGAGAGGAGGGGATGGATGCATGAAATTCTTAAACACTCAGGAGTTTCCAGCCCTGGAGCAGAYATAAAGAGAGAAGGTGGAGCAGTGYAAGAGGAAGCYGAATGCTTCTTTAAGCCTTAGCAATYTGATGGCAGGAAAACAAATTCAGCAGCTGGTCTGCCTCAGTGACTCATCACTGTTACACTCAATCCCTCAGCCAAAGGCAGCACTCAGTAGTTCTTGCTCAATCTGGTAGGTCTCCTGTATCCTTGATGTATCCTTTTAGAAGAATCCGATTTGCCTCCTAATGAGCTTTTCWCGATCTTCAGGGACACTACAAAGCCCTGAGGATCAAATCCAGCAGGCATTAACATACATTGGCTCCACTGTTCAATGTGCAGACTATGGGAAGCATTCTACTCCTCAGAGGAGAGGTGGTGTGATTTTATAGCAGGGATCTTCCCAAGCCTCCTAAAACTTCATCAAAATAAGAATAGATATTAATTTCTTTCCTCCTGTTCTTGCAAGGCCAAAGCACCTCCCCAGAGTTGCCAGCTTGGATTTGCCACTGTCCTGGCAGTGCCAAGTAACCAACCTGCCCCCAGGTCTAGTGTGGGGTGTTCCAAATGGTACCTTGTTCGAGGGTCAAACACAGTGCTGCTGAGCAGCAGACAAACCTGGCAGCTGCAGTTCTTTACTGGCATGGTTCAGCGTGGGTGTGCACATCTTCCCCTTGGCAATAGCACCCACATGGGTCTCCCTCATCACATGTCCACCTGGAAGGTGCAGCCAGCCAGATTTACCTCCAGGTGGTTAAAGATGTAGAAAAGAGACCAGACAATCAAACCTTTAAAAGTARTTTATAAAGAACATTTACATTCAGTAGTACAAGATGATATATAACCATCCCTCCTGAGCACACCTCCTGCAGAGAGGTGAGACAGTGCACTCAGATCACAGCGTACAGAACATGTGCTTCCCACTATTACAGAATTACAGAATATTCCATGTGTGAAGCAACCCACAAAGATCGAGTCCAACTCTTAATTGAATGACTCATACARGGATCAAACCCACAACCCTGGCACTATTAACTCCATGCTCTTACCAATTGAGCTAAGGTTCCAGAGAAAGAYTGCCTTCAGCAAATAAAGATTTAAATGACAATGCAGAAGCAGATGCTCTCCACCCACAGCATGCTATTGCCCTGGAATCATGCAGTCTGGAACTACTTTTTCCTTCTGAAATGATCCAATTCCAGTTTAGAAATCCMATTATCCAAACATATTTTGACTGAAACTGAAGATGAGCACACACAAGCTCAGCTCAAAGCTTCTCAGTCACACCTCAGGTGACCTGCRTGGATTGATGAAAACCCTCTTGTCTTTCTATGCTGTCACTTGCTTTAAAACTTAAACAAGTGCAYCACCTCCTCAAATAAGGCATTTCCTTGGTCCATGTCCCATCCCCACCCAGTTAGCACAGGTACCTAAAGAGAAGTGTCTGCATGGCCTTGGTAGTCYAACTCCCTGCACTCGTTACAGTGAATTTGTTAATACTTTGGTTTCATAGACTAAGTGACTTATAAAACAGAAATTCACATAACACTAATTTAAATGTTCAAGAGATTTCACAATCAAAAAATCTAAGACTACACATGATACAGGATATGGCAACTAAACAAATTGAATCAGCACTGCATCATGACTTCATGGACCATTGCTTTATACTTGCTGTTCTTGACACACTTAGGCAAGGGCCCTAGAGTTAGAAGGCCCTGCTAAAGCATTATTCCATAAGGTTCAGCAGATCATCTCTGGATSCTTTTTCCTCTGAGGGCAGTGGAAATGTATTCCCTTCTTGCCMCAAGCTGACTCTGTAAACATTACCACTGTGCCAGTCACACTAAATGAAAACATGAGCACTTTAATCAGTGTTGTCTCCTAGACTATAAAGTTCCTTATCACCTTCCTCCTCCTGACTACTTCCTTCCAAGACAGGTTTAGAGGATCACCTGACAGTWGAGAAACAGCTGTCTGGATTTTCCAGCTCTTCCAACTCTCTTATGGTTGGGTTCTCCTCCAGCCTAGGCTGTGGAGTTCCCCATTTAGGGGCAGTAAGTAGGGACTGAGATCCATCCATTACAAAACTGGTCACTGGAACAAAGAGAATTTCCTTTGAGAAGAACACATTTCCTCTTACGCCTTTCCAAAGCTTTCACTTYGCTATGCTCAGTTTTAATTTCTAAAGTGTGTAAAGGGCACCTGTTTTCTCAGAAGAGGTATCCCAGTGATAAGATTTGTCACTTGTCAGCCATCATAATTACTGGCAATAGGCCAGGGCCTCCAGAGGCTGATCCAGGATAAACAGATTCCTAACAAACATTAGGTGGGTAAAACTTGACACTGCCAGAGTTTATCCACCTTTGYATTTTTAAAATATTTTTCAAGATTAACACATTTGGCAACAATTATGGCACAGTCTAATAAAAGTCAAACCACTTTGATCCCTTGCTATCTATTTTTTGAGGCTACAACCTATAGTAAGCTTTTACTGAAGGAAGACAAAAAACTTCCTTCAAATATCACTGACTATAAACACTTCCTTTTATGGGAAGCAGGAATTAGCTACAATACTGCAATTGCACTCCATTTTATCTACACAGTGAGTAAAAGTGTTTGTCCAGAYGGTGGCCTGGGTTTGCTGGAGGCCAGAGCAGCAGCACATGGCAGCTGTTATCTCTCCTTGGCGTGGCCATTGGTGAGGTGAGCTCTGTTGTTCAGGGGCTCAGCCCCATTCCTCTGGATGTAACCATTGCTTGTGACGCTGCTGAAACGCGTGATCCCGTTCTTCTCCTTTTCTCTCATCTTATCTCTGTCTTCATCCTTGTCACTTTCCTCGGTGTCACTTCTCATGTCCTTTTCCATCTACAAAAACAGGATAAGTGAGAAGGCAGRCAAACAGGGCAGTTGAAGGAGCAGCAGTGCTGGCTGAGCCACAGRCTGACCATGATCCTGCTTCCTCAATCACTCACCCTCAGCACAGCTCTGCTCTGTCCCTTCAGCTTTACACTGCCCTTGGGAACAGATTCTGCCTCTTTGGTTTCAGTGGAATCCCATCTTGTCATCCTGATTAACATCAGGAATTACAGGCTGACCATGATCCTGCTGCCTCAATCACTCACCCTAGCACAGCTCTGCTGTGTCCCTTCAGCTCTTACACTGCCCTTGGGAACAGATTCTGCCTCTTTGGTTTCAGTGGAATCCCATCTTGTCATCCTGATTAACATCAGCAATTACAGGCTGAGAAGCAGAACAAAACCTCAGATGCCCAGGACTGAGGACAACTGTGTAAGCCTGAGGAGATCCACACTTCTGCCCTGGCCACCAGCATGTGGGAGAAGGATGGGGTAGGCAGTTAATCAAGCTCTTTYACACTTTCCAAAAGGGACAAGGAGCCAAATTCTTCCACACATGGCTTGGGTGGCTGCAGGCTGACAACACTGCCTGGGACAGCCTGGAAATACATGCTTGCAAACAAACTAAAGGCTCAACACAAAGTCACTCCACTTTGACTACATTCAGTTTTTCAGTCAGGCTTTTCCTCTTGTTGTTTATTGACTGAGAGACCTGTAATCCACTTTTGTAAGTATTTAATTAMTTGCCTTAAAAGGAAGGCAGAAAAGAAATAATGGGATAAAATGACAGTTTAGAAAAAGCAGCTCAGCACTTCCTGGCTTCTCAGGCTGTGTCTACTCTGCCATACAAGATGCCAAAGCTGGGGACAAAGTCACTGTGTCACACTCCTTGCTGGACAGAGGGAATGCTCCAACCCCTTTCTGTGACCTGAGCTTTAGAAACTGCTCAGGGCCATATCAGGTGCTGCCCAGAAATTTRGTCTCCATTTATGGCTGTCCCTTCTTCTTGAGATCTCTCAGATCATATTGAAATCTCTTATTTTGGTTAATGCTCTTTTTCTGAGATCACTACAACCAGATGCAGGCAAGATTTGTCAGAATCTAAACTTCCACTGAATTCAATCTGTCTCCAAGGACAATATGGGTGAGAGATGCTGTCTAGTGAATAACCTGCACCACACACAGTTCAGGAAATGTGCAGGAGTCTGGATCTGCAGCATAGGGACAAATCGTAATCAGTATTTCTATGTTTAYCCATTTATAGCCAGAGAATGTGTCTGAGGCCTTAAATCTGGGAATGAAACTCGTACTTCAGGATCTAGGCTGAGTTCTAATTACTGGGGATTAGGGAACATTGTGTGAAAAGGTGGTAARGATTATCCTGTAGCCAGAGACCAAAACCTTGGAGATCAGAAAGGCCCACAAGAAGAACATGAACTGATTGTAGCAAGAGTTTCATGGCTCTCAAAAAAGAGAGAATGTCCTGTATTTCTTGCTGATATTGCTTTGGGCTACTAAATATTGTCATTGAAATGGATCGGTTTAAGACAATTTTTTTCGCTTTTCATTGCTCAATACAAAAAGTATTCAAATACATTTTTACATCAAATCYGGCAGATCAATTTTTAGATTAAATATGAAAAAATCTGGATATGCTTCAGGATTTTCCTCCCTGATGGTTCTTTTCTTTCTAATAAGACAATTTATTACCTCATAATTTTACATTACACTAACAACATAACTGAGTCCCACACAAAAACTAGGAAAAGGCTGTCTTCAATTGCATCTTCATTTCCTGCCCTGTTTCCTGATTTGCAAGTAATTTGCTCTGTGCTACCTTAAGGGAAGGTAGACAAAGAACATGGGGACAATATGGATAAAGAGGAACCTTTAATGCTTGCTCTCAGTTCCTGTAAGACAGAATTCCTCAGTTGGACACTAATAAAACAAATCCTCCTGGGTTCTGAGGTCAGCTCCCACGAGGTGCTGACTGGTCACCTCTGGACTGCATCCTTGGCATGTGGCCAGTCCTGGCTTTGATTTTGGGAAGAATTTCATGCTGAGCAGCAATTTGGTCTCACAGAAAAAACTACAGGCCACAGTGGGATGTGGGATGCATTTCACTTCAGTTTATACAGCTGCAGCTCAGAYATTCATCTCTGGTTGCTCTGTGCCTGTTGAGCAGCACTGCCAGGGGCAGGATGGGATGKATCATGATTTGGGCATGCCTGTTGCCCTCCACTGCTGTGAGAGGGGCCCAGGCAGCTGATTTAGACAGAAATACTTACTGTGTAGAAATTTATAGTGTTGTAACACAATTGTAATTTAACATCCTGTACAATAAGGGAAGCACTTTTGCACTGGCCTCACCAATCCTGACAATTATCCCTGCCTTGATTTCTTAGTCGTTTTACAAATGCAAATCACACTGCACCAAGTGTTGTGATTTTTACACAGATGTCACTGGCTTTGCTCACAGACATCTCTCCTAGAGTCCAATCCCCATTTTCATTGAATACAAGCATCAGAAGTGGACCCAATATTGTAGTGGCTCACAATAATTTTTGGGTCACCTTTCCCAAATATTACTGAGTTTCCTTCCACCCCACTGTTGGTAATATACATGTATAATTTCACTAGAACAATAAGGAATCCATGCCGGATGGATCCCTGTGTTTTCAAGCAGTTTAGGCAGACCCTCCCACCCTGTGTGATGCAAAGGATACCACAAACTGATACACACCGTGCCCTGGAGGATGAATTTGTAGACCATGTGAATAATTAGGCAGGACCAGAAGATATGGAGCAACTGCAGAATTATCAGGAGAGTATTCACAAAGTAGTATCCAAAGAAGGGCTGGAATATCTCCATGGAGTAATAGTAGGTGTTATAAAGCACTCTGCAAAACAGAGGGGATTGTAGTGAGGGAAATCATGTTGTTAGCAGGGCCACAATTAAGCCCCAGAAATTTGTAGCCACACAGGAAGTTTCAGATCAGCCAATTCCATCTTTACCCATCACATGCAAGCCAACAATCAGTTCCCCACCCAAAGCACACAGGATAGAGCCATTGGCCCAGGGCTCCTGCTCTGCAACACCCTCCAGGGCTTCAAGGCTGCTCTGTGAACCCCAAGGCAGSTGTGACAGCCATGTGGCATTTCAGCCTGTGCAAAGGGCAGAAACACGTGCTCCAGGACTGAAAAGCAAAGACTGCAGCACCAGCTGATGGTCCTGTCTCTCAGAAAGCAGCTTTTCCATGTCCCCTGCCTGCAGCAGACTCACGTGTAGGGGTAGATGACCAGGCGGCTGATCAGGAAAACAGCTGAGAAGATCATGAAGAGGCTGTCACAAGTTTTTTTCCACTTCATGTAATTGAATATCTTAGTTGGCTGGAAGGAGAAAGAACAATAAAACAGCAGCCAAGATAGCATCTGCACATATTCCAGGGGGTTAATGAGACAGGAATGACACAACCTGCATGCAGGTAAGCACAGCTCTGCCCAGCTCTCAGCTGGGTCAGCAGAGCAGATCCAGCATGTTCCACCATGGATCTGTGGAACACCCCAGTGCTTGGCCCATCTTGTGTTAGATTAGAGGACTGAAGTCACCCTCTGAAGAGCACCACTGCTAACTAGGCTGTGCATGGCTCACCTCCAGGAAGCAATCAGAGGCATCGTGAATCAGCATCACCAGCGTCCCAATGCGGATGTAGTTGCCACAGTATGAAAAACTGATCAGGAAGATGGTTGCAGCATGATGGACTATCTGCTCCTTGAAATCCTGACCAAAAAGGGAACAGCAAAGAATAAAACACATAATGTACCTCCTGCCCCAGTTCAAGCATGGCTCCTGCAGGTAGCAATGATATCTCTMTAGACAGTGATTAAGAATCCTCCCACTACAAAGTCTTATCCATATAATTCTTTCACCAAACACATTCTAGAAATGTAGGCAACCAAGAGASCCAGGAATGAAGAGCTTATGGTGTAAACTGAGGATCTCACAACAAAGAACATTCTCTTCCTCCACCAGCCATGGTCTGATGCTGTGCCCTGTCTATTGGGACACCARCACCAAGAACACATGCAGATTTACTGGCAGAGAAGCACCACTTTTCCTGTCTCTATGAACAGTGCAGTCTAGAAGAGTTGCAGAAGAGCAACTTTTATGTTTGGATTTTAAGTCTGGATTGAGAACTCTGCAGTGCTTTGCACCTTTCTGTGTCAGGGCTTGTTTTCTCCACTACCCAGAGGAGAGAAAGCCAGTGACTGGGAATAAAAATTCCTGTGAATGAGCAAGGAGARAAAAAAACCTGGACTAGCACTGTATACATGCTCTTAGAGATCACTCTCCTGAGTGTTCAGCTTGTGTTCTGTTTGTACTTGATAGTCCCCTGAGACTCCCACTCACCTTCCTCTTCACGTCAAAGGGCAAGGTGAAGACCAGTGACCAGTAGAARGAGAGCTCCAGCATGTAGTACCAGAACAGGGAGGGCTGGAGAGGCTGTGAGAGAGGGAGAAACAGGGAAATACCCATCAGGCACATTTGTGCAAGAGCTGCAAGGGAAAATGCATTTGAAGGCAAAAGAGAGCTGCAGTGGATTGACACTGACTGAATGCCAGGCAGTCACAAAAGCCACTCTCTCAGTCCCCTGCACAGCTGGACAGAGCTGAGAAAACACAACAAAGAGTTCTTGAGTTGTGATAAGGACCAGGAGAGAGTGCTCATCAAATACAGCCATGGGCAAAACAGGCTCTAATTAGAGATATGAATTGAGTTCTTTTCTAACGAAATCAGAGCACAATCATGAGCACATTTCCCCCTGCCCCTCCCTCCTTCCCAGCTGTGCARGGAGATGGGAATGGGGGTTATGGTCAGTTCATCACCCGTAGCTGCTCCTGCTGCTCAGGGAGAGGAATTGTTGCCCTCCTGCACCGTGGGATCCCACGAGATGTAGTTCTCCAGGAACTTCTCCAACATGAGTCCATACCATGGAAAACAGTCCTTCCCAAACTGCTGCAGCCCCGGGGTCACTCCTCCATGTGGTGCAGTCCTTCAAGGACAGGCTGCTCCAGCCAGGGTCATCCCCCTGCTCTGGCACAGGGCTCCTCCAGGGGCTGTGGGTGGACAGATCCATCCCTGTGGATCTCTAGGGGCTGTGGGTGGACAGCTGCATCCCTGTGGATCTCCAGGGGCTGGGAGTGGACAGCTGCATCCCTGTGGATCTCCAGGGGCTTTGGGTGGACAGCTGCATCCCTGTGGATCTGCATGGGCTGTGGGTGGACAGCTGCATCCCTGTGGATCTCCAGGGATTTTGGGTTTACAGCTGCATCCCTGTGGATCTGCATGGGCTGTGGGTGGACAGCTGCATCCCTGTGGATCTCCAGGGGTTTGGGTTTACAGCTGCATCCCTGTGGATCTCCAGGGGCTGTGGGTTTACAGCTGCATCCCTGTGGATCTCCAGGGGCTGTGGGTGTACAGCTGCATCCCTGTGGATCTCCAGGGGCTGTGGGTGGACAGCTGCATCCCTGTGGATCTCCAGGGGCTGTGGGTGTACAGCTGCATCCCTGTGGATCTCCAGGAGCTGTGGGTGGACAGCACCAGTCTTCACCATGGGCTGCAGAGGAGTCTTAGCTCCAGTGCCTGGAGCAGCTCCTGCACCTCCTCCACTGACCGTGGTGTCTGCAGAGCTGCTCCTCTCACATGTTCTCACCCCACTCTTCTCTGACAGCAAATAAAATTGTGCAAAACTTTTTTTCTTTCTTCTCAAATCTGTTATCACAGAGGCGTTACCACTATTTCTGACTGGCCCAGCCTTGGCCTGTGGCATGTCCATCCTTGGAGCCACCAGGGATTGGCTGTGCTGGACATGGATGGAGCTTCTGGCAGCTCCTCACAGCAGCCACCCCTGTAACCCCTGCTACCAAAACCAGCCCATGAAAACCCAATACAACAACCAAATCAACAAAGCTCCTGTAGCTTTGTAGCTGCTCCTGCARCTACAGGGGGAAATACTTCAACTGAACAACATGCTCACTCACTAAATGTCATCTATGCCAAGATGAAATCAAACAGCAGGGGAAATTCCACTTTATCATACCATGTCAACCAATTAGGAAACCACTGTGAAGATCCTGAATATTTTTAGGATTTCTTCAGCACTATTCAGATACCTGAGCAGGCAGTACAGAGCTTAAAAAACTACATAAACCAATTCACTATGGCAAAAAATGAGTGGCTGAATAAACAATTCCCTTTTTACACTTGAAGATGCTTCAGATACCCTTCACTCTATCACAGATTTTTCAGTTTAATCAAACTAATGGGGGGAAAGTTCAATCCCAGCAGGAAAAGAAATCCACATTCTTYTGGGTAAATTATCTGGTCTTTTACTGCTGGGAAACTAAAAGCTTAGACCCACTCAGCAAAATCTTGTTCTTTAACAAGAAATTTTTGCTGTTGTGGCACTCTGTGGCCTTCTTAAACCTGAATCTCTTCGATAGATAWTTATTATGACTAAAGGGGCTTTGCAATGATTTCCAAAGAAACATGGAGTATTGTGCTCCCAAATGCTAATTGGTTATTTATGGCCTTGATAAATTTTAGTTTTCCTTTSCACAAGAGGAAGCACAGCTGGATGCCCTGGGGCTTCCAGGGAGGATATTAACATCTCCCTAGCTGGCATGTGCTGGTCACACTCCAGGTTATCCAAACAGGAGCTCTGAATCAGAAACTACTGCACAACCCTGCCCCCCGCAAAGATCAGACTGTTTGGGAGAACTACGTTTCTTTTGTCATTGTAAAGAAGCAGAAATTGTAATGAACACATTTGCTGTTCCTTGTCTTTGAGTTGCTCTTTGCCAGAAGGCCAAGACCAGTTCTGGTTTTGATTTTTTCTCTTTTTAACAAATGCTGGAAAACGAATGTGTGTTGGGTTTACATGGAAAGGTTTTGGTAGCAGGGTGGGGGCAGTGTTAGCTTCTGTGAGATGCCAGAAGCTGCCYCCTGTCCAACAGAGGCAGTTCCAGACACCTGCAGAACAGATCTGCCACTGGCCCCATGAGCAAGAGTGGCAGTGCCACAGGCTGTGCCCCTGAAGCCCATGGGGATCCACAGGGAGCAGAAATCCACTGCAGACCCTGGAGGAGCCTGCCCAGAGCAGGGGGATGTGCCCTGAGGAAGATCTGACCCCATGGAAAGGCTGTGCTGGGGCAGGTCCCTGGCAGCACTGCAGACCCCTGCTGCACCCACGACAGCAGTCTGTTCCTAAGAGACTGCACCCTGTGCAAAGGACCCACAGTGGAGGGGTTCATGGAGAACTGTCCCTTTGGAGAGGTTCATGGAGAACTGTCTCCCTTTGGAGAACCCATTGCTGGAGCAGGGGAAGAGCTGGAGCAGGAGGAAGGAGCAGCAGAGACAAGGTATGATGAACTGACCACAACTCCCATTCCACACCATTGCAGGGGAGGAAGTGGAGAACGTGGGAGTGAAGTTAAGCCCAGGAAGAAGGGAGTGGTGTGGGAAGGTGTTTTTAAGATTGGCTTTATTTCTCATTAAACTACTCTTATTTGATTAATAGTAAATGAAATTAATTTTTCCACAAGTCAAGCCTGTTTTGCCCGTAACTGGGGAGTGCTCTCTCCCTGTACTTATCTTGACCCATGAGCCTTTTGCTATATTTTCTMCCCGCTTTGCATTTGRGGAGTGGGGAGAAGAATGGGCTTTGTGGGCACACTRTGTCCAGCCAGGGTCAGTCCATCACAGTGGGCCACTATGGAGGCTCTGATTGTTTTTGACAAGACATGTACTGCAAATGTACAGAGCAGAAGACAGAGGGACCTGGGTGATCCTTTCAGTCTTACATCCTATTCAAGGCCCTTTGTTTGTACGGTTCAATTTTTACACAGAACTACAGATTTGCCCCTAAAATTTTGGCCTTTGAGCAATAGTGGATTGTTCAGAGACTCAGCTGGAAAGGCACTGCCTCACTCTTCAGTCATTTGTCCCTGTGGCTCACACTGTTAGAATTGGGCATTGCTTTTCCCTTCATGGGTTTGCCACCTCCACATACAATCAAAGGCTCTTGCTCCAGCTTTGACTGTCAGACAAAAACCCCTGGAAYACAAGTCTTCACTTTCTCTTGGTAGTGACAAAGTGCTCTGCCAATTCATCTTCTCTTGTGTTTAGATGACACCGGGTACAAAGATGTTCTTCCTAGATGAGGGTCTGGATTTGAATTCTTACATCTTCTAAGTCTGAATTTATTGCACTGTCCTCTTGTCACTAATATAATCTGATTTTCAAAAATTATGGAAACACAATACATGATTTATAACAGCAATTTTCCCTCTTGTGTGACTRACCTGTTGTGGATATCCTGTCCAGCACTCTCTGTGGTCCCAAAACCAAGGTTTCTGCAACAAATAATGCAACATGACTGTGAGAATATCAGAGGAGTTATTTTCTTATCAATTGTCTAAATCCCTTAATTTGTTACTACTATAAAACACACTAATAAAACTAAATAAAACACACTTCATTGTGTTTTATTACAGGCAGAGCTGGTAATACTGTCTGGAATCCAATTGCCAAGAGATTGCTCTACAAGTACTTGCATCTTCTTGTGACATTTCCAAATTGTGACTATTTGCCTGAAATCTCACACATTATTTAGCTGTTACAAATAAAATAGCTCAGAGAAGACTCCTCTCAGCTTTTTGCAGTCTTCTACAAGTTTGAGGTGGTGGTGGTGTTTTATTTAAAAATACTCTTACAACTATTTCATCAAGAATATCTGTGATTTAAACAAGAACACTTAAATGTGGTAAGAAGGCTGAAAACTGGTGTGTCGGGTATGTGCTGTTTCCTCTGACAGTGAAGGTTATGCTGCAGTGTGTTAAATAAAGAACCTCTGAAAAGATCCTACTCTTTTCAATAGAAAATTGTTAGTTTAGAGTTTGGCAGTTTAGAAACTTTCACAGACACATGGTGACTAAAGCCCCCCAAGAGCTCTCCATTCATGGAACGTGCCCATCTGGACCAGAGCTCACAGAACACAGCAACACCCCACACCTCTCAGGGGAATTTTCTCTAAGTTCTGCAGGGCTCCAGGTATCAGAGCTGAGGCAAGAAGGCAGCATTTCTTCTTCTCACAGAGCACTGCAGYGTGTGGGCAATGCAGAGGGGAAGCAGGAGGCAGTGGTTTTAAACACAATCCCTGCTGATTGGAAATGGGGTTGGGAGTAGAATTTACTGCAAATACATGTGCAGAACCACGAGAGATGTGTGACATAGAACCAGACAGGAAAAAGCAAAAACTATGAAATGACTACCCCATATTGTTTACCTAAGCTAGAAAGGAGCTCCAGAAACCTGAATTTCATCATTCCTCTGCTGTCAGCAAATACAGCTGATTTCTGGTGGCTTACTGGGAGATAACTTTCCTTTGCTACAGGCTGTTTCACTGACTCATGGGCAGAGGTTTGTGCAATCAGTTTAAAACTACAAATACAGAATTTAATAATTTGATTTTTTTCTAAAGGAAGAAGGATGTTTCACAAAAACAAATGCTACTCAAGTAACAAAGTAAACAAGAAAGTTTACTTATATGTGAAATATCACATATATGCCCTGTCATRTTAGTTCTTTGTCCTTCTTTTTAATGCAATAATTTTAGTACAATTTAGGTACCAGAATAATATGATATTTGCTACAGGATCTAGAGGTGCTATCTGTAGGATGGATGTCTCCTGCTTTAGTGAAAATGTGAGATGTGTGTTGAATAAAGAATCACAAAAAGTGAGAATGATATTTCATCACATAATGGACTGATAACGTGCAGAAGGATATTATTGTACCCCTTGTTGCCACAGAGCTCTGGCACAGTGGTGAGCAGCTCATCTGTACCAAATTTCAATGGCTGSACTCAAGGAACAGCCTTCCATTTTRATGTATGGACCCATAAAACACTGCAGCTGGGATTCAGATACCTTCAGCTATCTCATCCTATAATCCTCATACTCTTGAGTACCTTAAAATCTGACTCGAAAGTCTGTGTAAGTTTGAAAATCCTTCACTTGCTACAATAATGAGAGGTTATGAGGAGAGTTCATGCCTGCTCTTTTGGGATGTGCACATTTTCCATCACTTAACCCATCACATCATACCAGAAGACTTTTGCAAAGCTCACCTAGGGAACCAGATGCAGCAAAAAAAGTCATGGAAATCTTTAAAACACAGGCAGAGGATGGCACTGCAGCCAGTCCCAGCTCAGAGATCACAGCTCAGGGACTGCAGCTCACCCATGGTTCTGTTACCCCTTCTGCCTGCTGAAGCAGCTCAATTCATATCAAGAGAACTCATTAATTACCAAATTGGAGAAAAGGCAGAGGCATGAGCCTGAGACAATCACACCCTGGGTAAGTAAAAGAAAATTAASAGATCACATTCTTCAATTGCAGTCCATGTTCCAAAGGAAGCCTGAATTTTTTTACCTTAAAGAGGTATTGGATGCAACACACAAMCAGGACCTGCAGCTTCCAGCTTAGATAAGTATTCTATCTCCTACCCTAAAATGTACTTTTACACAATCCCAACTGTCTTCTGCTTTGCCAGAAGAAGAGGAAGCATCTTGGTTCTGAGCTGGAGTCCTTAAAATAAGCGGGATCCAGTGTGTGTGTGGTCTCCTAAGTCTGCTGTGTAGGGGATACATAGGTGGTGCATGGCAAACCTTTTAGAAGAAGGTCTGAAAAGACAGGTTTGACAGCAAACTGCCATTCTTGCAGCCACTGGYGGGGTAGAACAGCAGGTCACTGCTTGTGTACTCACATCATACAGGACAGCGAGYCCAGTGAAGAAAGAAATGATGTAAAATGTAAATCTCCAGCTACAAACAAACAAAACAAAACAAAGTGCATTAGAATCCCACTCATTAACCCCTGAGCTGCAAGTCTGTGTATCCTCACACACATTCAAAGAACAACACCATTAAGGCAAAGACACACAAAGATATGTTAATATTTTAACATGTTCAAGGTTTGCCCAGAATAGGAGCAGCTCTTTGCATGTTACCAGCACATTTCACAGAKTTCACAAAGAGCAATTCCTCTGCTGTAGAGATGGCAGAAAACATGAGAACCTTGCTGACTAAAACCATTCAGAGAATAATCCCAAATCTTCCCAGCATTAGCAGATGCATTTGTAAAAGTCAAACAATGCCTATCTCTCTCCAAGACCTTTGGAGATCAGGCATGCTAAATTTGTTATCATGTACAGTAATTAATTACTGTCATGTTTGRCCCAGTCAGGAGCCAGCAATGATTTACTGACCTTAAACCCACACAGAAGAACATAAAAACTGTTAGAGGCAGGTCACCTGAACGTACACACGTGTGTGTGAGGAAAATGAGGGGAATTTCATCCCAACAGAATAAACAAGTTATTAATAAATGAACCACAGGAACTATTATAAGGAGTAAAACTCTCCAAACCAGCCCTTTAATTTCCAAAAATCTCCGTAACAATTCGGATGCACCTACACTTTGAGAGACTCCACCTGCCAATGAAATCCCCAGGAATTCCAAGACAAAAATAAACTCTACAAAGCTGCAGGTCACATCAGAGAGACATTCTGTCTACAGACTGCACATGATCACAGAGGGCCCGCAGGGGCTGAGGCAGAAAAGGATTTACTGTTTCCTTTTCACTGTTACTATTTATTACCAGTCATCAGAGTGCAGGGAGAGCCTAGATTTCATTTGGATGGAGGCAGAATAAACAT